CATCCACAGCCTTCCCCTCATCCACTAAGTGGGTCACCTTGTCACAGAAGGAGACCAGGTTAGTGAAGCAGGATATCCCTTTCATAAACCCATGCTGGCTGAGCCTGATCCCCCTGGTTGTCCCACACGTGCCACATAATGGCACTTAACGTGACCTGCTCCGTGACCTTCCCCGGCACCGAGGTCAGGCTGACAGGCCTGTAGTTCCTGGATCCTCCTTCCAACCCTTCTTGTAGATGACTGTCACATTCGCTAACTTCCAGTCATCTGGGACCTCCCCAGTTGACCAGGACTGCTGATAAATGATGAAAAGTGGCTTAGCAAGCTCCTCTGCCAGCTCCCTCAGTATCCTCGGGTGGATCCCATCTGGCCCCATAGACTTGTGGGCATGATCCATAGGTATAATATCTCAAGTACTTCTTCTGTACCTATCAAGTTCAGATCAACAAAAAAAAGTGTATAAATAATTACTTTAGAAAATCATCTTAAAATTTCCAAGAGCACTTGGATTTTAATACAATTCTTACATAGTCATATATTTAATATTATATTATGACACTTTTAAGACATCATGTCACATTGACTAATGCCTTCCTCTTTAATTTTAGACTGAAAAAACATATTCCTCCATTGCAAAAGCAGATGCATATTCTTCTGCTGTGAAAGCTGCATGATAATGGTGCTCTATTTCCATTAATAGTACCTTAAGTGTGTGGTACTTTTATGCAGTTATTATTTAGAAAACTGGATTTATTTTGAGCTTTCTTTGTCACAGCCCAGCATAACCCACAAATTTTTTCCTCTTTAGTTTTTTTCCCAAGTGGTTTTTGAAGTTCAGATCACTGACAGCTTTGAGATTCACTGGGCTTTTTTCCACTTGTGTAATTTTCCAGCCTCTTCTGCCTCCAGCAGAAAGGATAGTTAGTGATGTGGTTAGTAGTGCTGCCAATTCTGGCAACCTTTTTTTATTTTTCAGAGATTATACTATTAGACTTCTCAGTTGAGATGCTGCAGTTCTATCATGGGGAAGACCTTTTGGTCTTCCTGATCCTCTTGTCTGTCTTCTGGATTCAGCAGCCAGCACTAGTTCTTCCCTTCAGTAAATGTATAGAAGAGAGAAGGAGAGAGTAGAAAGTGCTTGACTTTCCTGTTCCTCTTCTGGAATTTGCCTTCATTCCTCCCTTTTCTTATTACAGCAACCAGAACTTCTAGAACTGTCCCTCCTTCTAGAGGGTGGAGAAAGTAAACAAGATTAGACTTTGACCTGCACCAAGAGGAGTCCAAAGAGGATATGGGGTAGGGGCTAGAAAACTGAGGCAGTGGTTAGGCCAATAAAACCCAAAAAGGGTTTTATGAAGAAAAGCAGCAAACTGAATAGTTTGAGAGGAAAGGTGGTGAAAGGTTTGGAGGTCAAGACTGATTTTGAAGTGGTAGGGATTCATGACAGGTACGTGTGAGAATAAGCATACCGGCTTATTCAATGGGAATGTTGTCACTCATAAATAAAAGCAGGAGAGAAGAAATGTAAGTGTAATGGAGTTCCACAGGATGGGACAAACAATCTTTTATAAACAAATACTAGACACCAGTATGATTTTTGTAGTTACTTATATTTCATAATATCTACATTTAGACTAGTCTGCAGAACAGTGGGAAAGGAAAAACGGTTATGGTATTATGACTAGGGCTGTTAGAAATTTGGCTTACCTCTTCCTGTTAGAATAAAACCTCTCTTCCTGTTTTGAGCAACAGTTATAGAAACTAGTTTTGCAGTCTGTATCTATAAAAATTCTTCAGCAAACACTTAACTAACTTAATTGGTTGTCACACTCCTCAATTCTTGCACATTATCTGAAATAACCTCTGGTCTCCCTAGAACTGAGCAATGTCCTGGCTCTAGAGAAACAACAGCAAAGACTCAAGTCTACTGAAATAACACTTTTAAACTACAAGGAACAATATCTTCATTTGCTGCTGATGTTCAGGAAACTAACACAAATAGCAAAGTATAAGCAAGCTTCAGTGAATGTGTTTTTTTTGCATTTCATTTTTTTCCAGCTATAATTCAGACAATGTAATTGGTAATACAATTAAGTCATGGAAGCCCATCAGTTAAAAAGACCTATGCTTGTTTTTGCAGTACAGCTATCAGGAAGCAGTGTGGTCCTGTAATCTCATAGCTTTGATGTGTGGGGGAAGTATATATGTGTACATACAGCGACTAAAAGGAAGAGCATTATTTTCTTCAATATCAGAAGCATCTGAGACATCTGCATGCAAAATAATGTGTTGTCATTGATAGTCATGTCTCAGAAGCCCAAAATTCTCCAGACATGTTCTTTAAAATACGACTTCTTGTTTAAGAAAGTCCTCATTACTTACTGTTGTCTCAGAAGCTTGGTTCATTCTTTTTAATGGAATCCATTCCTTCTGAAGTAATAATGTTTATTCCTGAAAACAGAATGTGAGTTAAGTCTCCATTACTTTAAGATACTGTCATGGGGGAGTTAGATGTATTTGTATATATTATATATACTACTATGTATATAATATGTGTATATGTGCCGTGTCATTCCTCAGTGCTATATCTATCTGCCTCTGAACTATCATCTCTGTTCTCCAAACAGAGATTAAAGAAAGAGAAATCATCAGTTAAGAAAGAATAGATGTTAGGTTCCCTTTTCCTGCCAGTCAGTCACGGGGATAATCCATCACTGAAGACTGTGTGGCGATTGTACATGTGTTATGCTTTACAGAATGTCTTCCAGACAAGTTGTGATTGTAGCTTCCAAAACAGTGTAAAACCACAAGAAAAATTATTTCTTCAAGAATAGGTTAAATTTCTGCTCTCTTGAGTTCTTCCAGCAGATCTAAATTATACTTGTAGTGTATCCTGATTGGGTATTAAGAAAATCTGGAAGGAGGGAAGGTGTTTAATTATTAGTAGATTTTTAAACATGCTACAAATACAGAAAAGAAGCAGTTCAGCAGATAAGAAATACTAACATTCTGCTTTATCTTTTATCAGGCTGGGATGAAATACAGAAACCTCATTTTGAAACCCGGAGGATCTTTGGATGGGATGGATATGCTACAAAATTTCTTGGATCGTAAACCAAGCCAGAGAGCTTTCCTGTTGAGTAAGGGATTATGTGTTCAGTAAAATTATGGTTCCTTTGTAATGGCATATAAGTATGGAATGAGCTGGAAATGTCAGTGTATTTCACATCTTAACTATGTATCACTATAAGGACATTGGGTCACTTTTCGATGGTTTTTTAAAATTGTATCAATAAAAATGTGATTTTTAGAAAATTGCATAGAACTACAAAAATTCAACATATCAGGGAAAAAATTCTGAGATGTGCAGAAGCTGAGGAATTTGGGTGGTAATTTTTTGCATTGTTATGAAATAATAGTAATCAGTGTGGGGAGTTGATGCCATGTTTCTCTTTTAATAGATGCACTTAAAGTGTCTTGTGAATTTTAAAACTGGAGGGGGAAAAAAGGACACCACTGGCAATAAAAGAAACAGATTCATTCTTATTCTGTATTGTTCTATTGCATTGATGGCTCACCAGTGTCTTTGATGGAGAGGAAGTGTGTTTGATTTCATCATGGTTTGGGTTCAGTCTAGCTTCCTGACAAATTTCAAGACTGAGAACCTGCCCCAGGCAGCTTTACTGCAGACATAATTGTGTGATACTTTTAGACTTCAGTCTGATGCATGTTAAATTTTTGTATCATTTAACTAAAAAGGAAAAAAACCTACCATTTGAGCTACCATTTTCTTCCCTTCATTGAGGAAAACCAGCCAAAATCTATGACCTTCGCAGTTCTTCCAGCACTTTTTTGTTGATGTTCAAATCAGGTCTTCGTTTTCCAAATTATATCAACACTGGCACTGAAAAGTTATACCTGAGCAATTATAATGGTTTCAGTTGGTTTGTGAAGTATTTTGAGATACATACAAGGAAAGATGGGAAAAAGATGTCCCCAGTGGGAATGGTAGAAGTCAGTCCAAGATTTTCCAGTGTGGCATGCGGAGGTGCTACAAAAAAGCTTCATAGATTTAATGATTTCAGCTGTGGGAGTGTGAAAGAAATTGAAGAATTATTTTGCAGTTTTTCTGCAAGATCAGGAAAAATGAGTCCAGCCAACTCTACACCACCCAAATAAAACTGCTAATCCAAGTGCACTTGTCTTCAGGTATCATACTTTACTTTGGTTTTGGTATTACAACGTGTATATGAACAAACTTTAATTTTGGTTACTAGCTAATATATTTTAGACATTTGAACCATAGCTGTAAATGTGGTTGGTATTTTTGTTTGTTTGTTCAACCGCAAAGTAAGAAAATATGCCTGGTCAACTCAAAAGACTTCCTCCTTTTCTAGCAAAAGAAAACTGAAAGCATTCACTTTGCGTCAAATCTATGTGGTTCAGGGGGAAAAAAAACCACAATTGTGAATGTTCAGTTGAAAGTTTATTTCTGTGTGTTTTTCTTTTAAAGCATTTTTAAAAAAAAAGAGCTTAATCAGTTTCTGAACTGGAAAATTTGACAGGATTTACTTTTGAACCACACTAGTTATGGATGTGAGGAAATATAAATATTTGTAGCTAAAGCATGTTAACTATGTAGTGTTACCAGACCACATAATTAAGTCAATTCTAGCTCTCACAGTCAGTTACAGTTTTAGACCCCAGTTCTGCTGGGTCATGAAAAGGCAATACATGAAAATCACATATATAAGAACATCTTGAACGGTATTCAGAACAGCTATAAAGGAAAGCTGAGGAAACTGATGGATGCAAGATTATCCTAAAACCTGTGAATTTTGCCTAGATTAATTTCCATTAAATTCTGGCTGGATTTGGAAGTATTTTGCTTTCTTTCTAAAGGTGTTTAAATTCTTGTGATCCTATCTTATCAAAGGTTTTTTCCTTTCACGCTGTAATGATAGCTCTGATGAACTAAAATGTTGTAAAAAATATACTAAGTGATACTTCCCAAAAATGAATCTGCAAATCTAAGCAATGGAACCTTTATTAAGAAGCAAAATGCAGTTTTTATTTTACAGCTAGTAGGCAGATTTCCACATGAGGGAGACCTTTCTCTGCAAAAACCAGCAGTCTCAGATCAAGGCAGATAATTGCAAATGTTAGTAATTATAAACAAAAATATGTGATGATAAAAAAGTTATGTGATGATTTAAAAGTTAGATTTAAGACAATACTGATGCTAATGATGATAATTTGAGTTGGTTTTTTTCCTGTTCTTTAGAGTGTGTGTGTTATACAGTATATAGTAACTAAGCTATTGAAGTGCAGGAGAATGTCTGCTATTACGTGTATGTGAAAATGCTGACATGATTGTATGGTTATGTTAGCATCAGCTGGATATCCATGTGTGTAGGGAGGAGAAAAACCTAAACCACATTGTGCCCACAAATGAAAGTGTTATGTTCTATACCTCTCCCAAAGAACAGGATTTTTTGTAATTTGTTTTGGTAGAAGCCAGTTCCGTTAGTCTGCATCAGCCAATAATTAAGGCAGATCACCTTATGGCTAAAACTGCACTCATCACAAAAGACTAATGGGTATGTTCTGAAGTGCTTCTGAAACATCTTAATGTGGTAACGTATCAAACTTGTCTGCTAATTTTTATATTGGCTTCATGGAGCCTTCTGTATCAAATTGGGGTTGGACTTGATGACCTTTAAAGGTCCCTTCCAACCCAAGCTATTCTATGATTCTATGAAATTCATGTTGACATTTCTTATTGTAAAGACCTGATCTTGGAATGGAAAAGATAACCTGGAGAAAGACATCTTTTCTGTTTTTGCAGCTCTCCATCACAGGTATTAAACTTTGTCTGTATAGGAAACAACTTATTCTGATGCTATTCCAAGGCTGTGACATAAACAGGGAACACTTCTTCTCCTTTGGAAACATGAGTTAATTGCCTTGACACTGCACAGAAACAATCACATAAAATCAAACATGCCAAGAGGTAGGTATCTGGCAAAACCCAGCCTATTCTAGAGTTGCTAGACCCATGCTTCCACAGAATTAAATTTCAAAACAGTGAAAGCCTGTGTTTATTCCAACCCAACTTTAAGTATTCACTGTAATAAATAAAAAAGTAACTTGTGATCTTAGCCTGTAACAAACAGCTGCCTTTTCAAGTTAGTAATGTATCTTTTTAGAATTTCATTGTATTTGGGATTATTTTTTTTCCTCTGTCAGAAATTCAAATCAGACTTTGGCTGGCTTCACAACAAAAGCTTCAAATGAAAGGGAAAGGGTAAGGGTAAAATGGGAGACTCAGGAGAGAATGGTGGTAACCACTTACTAAGTGGATAATAGGCAATGACTTTCTCGTTCTGCTGCTTCACTGCAAAAGATAGAATGGGTGGGCCATACAGTTGTCACAAGATGGCTAGGTGATGGCCTCAGCAGCCCCTGCTGCTAGTTGTCTGACCATAGGTCCAGCATATAGGCTGTCTCTGGATTGCTTGCAAGTCATGTGGTCAAACCTAAATGGTAAGAGCAGTCTGAAGAAAAAGTTTAAACTTTGATCTCTGAGCTGTGGTGGCTACTGGTTGTTATGCTGACTTAATAAAGAGAGCATTAAGACGTAGGGAGTTCATGTTTGTAGAGACAGGTGGAGTATTGACTGTCAGGTGAGCTTCTAATACTACTACAGGTGATTTTCCAGTACAAATAGTTCCCTGTTGTATGTTATTAATATAACAACATTGCAGGAAAAAAAACGTCCTCATTTGAATCAGTACTCAGGGTCAGTCAACTGCTGACCTTGTTTGACAAACAACTTTATTAAACCCTGTTTTAACAGGTAATCAGGCAGCAACTAATTCTAATGTCTGTAGTCACTTGGTACGGGAGAAGTACAATTACTGCAACAAGAAGTGAATCACGAGGTCAAGATCTCAGCTTCCTCTCTGAAAAATGAAACAATTTCCACATACCTTCAGAGGTAATGGAGGGTAGTTGAGTTAAATGCAGACTCCTGGAGGGTTTTTCCAGAAGGGCAGAGCTGGTTGCATAGTGAGTTGTTACTGATGGGGATTAGAGAAGCTAGGCATCAGGAGGTTATGTGGTAGCACAAGTCAAAGGAAAAGGAGGGAATGCAGTAGGTGAAAGGATGAAGTTGGAGAAGGGTGTTTTGACAGTAGCTGGAGAAGGGTTGGAGTGGATGTCAGAGGCAGATAGCAGGAAAAAGACAGTAACTTAATGCATACTGATCTACGAAAGGCTACTGAATGCTTTTCATTGTTTTATGAAATAGAAACAAGACATGCTTGTCTGTGTATAGATTTCTTATCTTTTTATTTGCAACATGAGATTATGCACCAGCTTGTTGCTTGAATACTTGTGCTTCTTGCTGACATCTGGAGATTAATTTTTTTTTCACCACTGTTTTCTTCATGAATATATTTTAAATAATATTTTCCCATGGTCGAAGGAAAAAAGTGCAATGTTATGGGGGAAGTTCAGTTTGTGGGGCCTATGCTGGAAATCCTGCATAGCTAATCATTATTAGCCATTGTAAAAAGTGTAGGTGATACAAAAAGCATGGTACCAAACAACCATCAATCTATTTTAGACCTAATTAGGATAGATAAAGACAAATTAATTAAATGAATTGGAAGTTAGTGGTTGCCTAGAAACCAATAATCATGACCTAATTTTGTTCAGTATTGATTAGCAGAAGATAGACTCAACCAATACTTGCTTGCAGTATACTCCTGATGAATTAAAAAGGCTAAAGATATCAGTGCTAAGAGAACTAATGAGTAAAAATATTGGAAAAAAATTGTGAATGAGAAGCGGTATGTCTTTAAAATTCAGTTGGCCAAAATCCCACTATTTCACAACTTAAAAGTTTTTAAGAACAATTCTGACTAAGAACCAATCTGTTCACCAGTAAAAATAGCAATTAAAAACGAAAAAACAGAAGTAGGGGGTCAGGAGTAGGAAATAGTTGTAAAATGAGGAATTGCAAAGTGTTAAAAATGATAAAGAAGGATAAGGCTGTCAAGAAAAAAAAAAAGCTGGAAGGATTATACCCAATAAGATGTATAACGTAATGTATTCAGAACTAATAAATCCCATTTGTGTTACAGACCCTTTTGTAGA